AAAGAAGTGGAGTGGTCATGGTAAAACGTTATATGAAATTGGTTGGCCATGGTGAAATAAAATAAAATTAAGTGGTCATAGTGATATTAAAATAAAATTTGATGGTCATGTTAAAATAAAATCAAATTGAATGATTATGATGGCACTAAGTATAAAGTAAGGTGATCATTGGTAGATTTAACCGTAAAAAATATTATAATATAGCACATTATGTATACAGTTACATGTTTGTGTATGTGTATGTCCAACTTTTAAACATGCAATATTATTTTGAGTTCTATGATATATGTTTTTAACACATGTACAATAAAAGTAGATCTTCCAAATGGCTGAAGTAATAGGTGCTGTAGAAACATATTCTTTCTTAAATTCTTTTTTTACTCAATGGTTACTAGTGTTATGAGTTGGAAACTGGAATACTTAGTCAGCGTTACATACTGAACTCAAATTTATAACATTTCAACAGAAAATACTTTTTAACCATTCAACTAGAAAATATTATAGTAATCACTCGACTTATTTTTTAAAGCGATGGTTCACGATACGAATTTGTTTTCTCAACTTCATTAATTCTCAATTTTCTAACTCACCAAGATATTTGATCAATCAAAATAATATTATATAACCTATTTGTAACTTAAAAATTATTACTTGTGTCACTATTAAACAATTTCTACAATAAGAACAAATCGTAAATTCAAATAGATAAATAATCAACACAAAAACCTTCCACTACTAGATGTCAATCCTTAATACATTTTATTCATGATCAAAATGTAAATTATGTTACACTGTATTTATAGATCAAACGCCCAATTTATATCATCACAAGTGTCGTTCACAGTATTGTTTGCATGAACAATATCAAATAAATGCAATAGTAGTAAGTAATAAAAATAGAATTTATTTATTGTAAAAAAAATATTTTTCTAAAATAAAACTATACTATATGGACACATAACCCAAAATTATGAACATAAATCAATAGGGTTGAATTTCTATTTAGTTTTCCACAAAAGCTATGTGATCATCATCGCGTTATTATTGTATCACAAATATTTTCTAACAATTTTGAAATTTTTTTTGTCGAATACAAGACATTGAAGATTATAATATAAAAAGTGTGAATAGCGTGTGAAGGATATTAAACTATGGAAGTTCGTTTGTCCATCATGAAAAGCCTAATTGGAAGCACATCAACTTCATGTTTATAATTAAACAATAAATATGACTCTAGTAAAATAGAGATTTGAAATATTTAATCAGTCAAACAATAATCTCTTCCTCTACGGAGGAGAAAGAAGTGAAACGAGAATTTTTCCTCTTTCAGACGTAAACCCATGTATAATGCTTTTATATTAGTTTATTAAGAAGATTCAATATTAAAGACAACTCACCCATCAAAAAAATATATATATTAAAGACAACTCATGATGTTTATGACTATGAGAAAACCTTGTAATGTCCCAAGATTTATTTAAAATAAATAAATAAATAAATAAAAAAGAGCCCGAATCGCAAGATTTTATTTTTACTAGACTGAAATTAATATCTTGTCTGTTAATTGTATATGATTTAGTATATTAATCACAAGTAGGAGTACTTAACGTAATTTGTTTATTTAAAGTTGCTACAATTATGTAGTATAATATTTAAATACATCTGCAATCTAGACGTTGGTCAAACAGGACAACATCATGATTTCTTATGTTATGTTATGAATGTGTGCAACTCTAAGGTAAACTAAAACATATGCGTATACACAGACGATGTTAGAAAATCTTAAATTGGACCACATATTGATTCAAAATCTAAATACTGGACATTGACTTTAGTTAGCAGAAAATGACTGCAAGATGAATAAGGAGACAACTGAAATACCATCGATGCAACAACCATAGTCAAATTTTATGCCTAAAATGATTCTGTGATTACAGCCCATTAAAACGGGAAATAGCAATTCTAAATTCTACAAATAACCATATTATTTAAGTAGGTAGGTTTTACCAAAAGTAATGTGTAACAGGGATCAAATAAATAAACCCAAGTCTCATTTAAATGTTCTTGAGTCCCCCCCCCCCCCCCCCCCCCCCACACCAACCAAATAGGGGCCAAACGGGGACTAAATATAAGTTTAAGAGTGTTGCTACAGTGCCCTCAAGGTTGACATCTGGGTTGACACAACACACGCATGAGATGTGGCTTTTTTTTATTATAAGTACAAAAACTCGAAGAAAGCATTTAATGGAGTTTAATTATAAGTACAAAGACTCGAAGAAAGCGTTTAATGGAGATTCCTAACCGTTAATCCTGTATTTCGGAACATGTTTAAATACACACACACACACACGTGTGTGTGTGTGTGTGTGTGTGTATATATTGCAATAAAATAAAGAGAAAAACAGCAGCGTTACAACTTTATTTTCAGATTTTAAACCGGCCGAACCAAGGTACAATCACTCCAACAAACCACCTGCCACCCGATGTGATCCATGTGAGCTGGAGGATAAAAGAGGTGTGTATGAGAAATACTCAATAGGACATGCATATTTGTGTAATTCCGAATAACTTGTATCAATTCATAAATTTAATAGTCATAGCATCATATCATATCATTTATACGTGATAGTCCATAAATATATTATCCATTTTTCTAAAAATTCATTTTTTCAAAACTCATTTTCAATAAAATAATATTTCACATAAATTTTAAAGTTTTTCCTTAATTTTTAACTACGCATTCTCCATCATCTACTATTTTAAAATGCATTATTTTCTCTAAAATGGGGCTCAAACAAGTATTATGTCACTTATTTAGTATAATATTTGTTAATATGAACTTAATAAAAACTAAACAGGACAAAACCACTTCCATATGGCTAAACTAAATTGGACTTTCAAATGAGTGCCAACAATGAAAGGATGCAGAAAATCTTGAGTGCCTTTCAGCAGCAAAAAATTGTTGACATCAAATCTCTCTTTTCATAGAAAACTACTGTACCGGCAAAGGTGTGCAGGCTGTTGTTACTGGTTTTTCCTCTTTCCCTACTAATAAAAGGGGTAGAAGAAAATGTATGGAGTGTGTGAAGAGGTGATCGGTGTATGTATTTTTCTTCTTGTGCTGCCGTTGGAAAATAAAGAGCATTGAAGATGGAGAAAGTACGTAGATGGATTGAGAGATAAGAGAAAAAAATTATGTTGAGGGAGATGAATATTAGTGTTTATGATTCGAGCTAGCTAAGCTTGAATCTTGATTACATGTCACTCTCACATGATAATAAAATGGGGCATTACGTACCTCAAGTATAAAAATTCACACCAATCTACATACTTCTAATATAAAGTATTCCATACCCATTTTTGAGCCACATATCATTTAAAATGATATTGATATACCTAAATTGCCATCACAAAGAAAAATTTAAAATTTATACTTAATTGGAATTTAATATGTTTTCTTTAATAATAAATTAATATTCATGTGGATATACAATTTTTAATATGCATGCCAGTGAAAATCTAAAACTAAAGTTTGATGAAAAAAGGGTAATAAATTTTTTCATTTTTTGATTTAATTGTATATAGTATGTAAACATAATTTAAATATTAAAAAAATAAAAACTTATCAGTAAATGTAGAAAATATCATGTTCTCTTGATAAGGGAATTAAGATAAATCAACCTCATTTTAAATGATATATAGCTTAAAATGGTCAGCAAATGTTTGCAATACTAGAAACTATAGATGATGAATGTTAGTGTGGTTTTCTAAACGTGAAGAGGTGTCTCCAATATTTTCATAAAGATTAGGAATATCCCTGATATTTTCTCTAACATTTAATAATTTTTTTCTTTTTAACTTATGAAAACAAGCTGAGTGTACCCCCCACCCCTAAAAAAAAAAAAAAAAAAAAAAAATATGTATTAGTATCTAACCTAATTTCCCATAAGAATCCGTCAAAGGGATTAAGTACAATATTATTGCTCAAATTTATACATATTCCACTAATTATACTTATTCCATTAATTATATATATATATATATACACACACACACACACATACATATAGGTGTTTGCAGGGGTAGAGGGTGTTAGGAGTTGGTGAGTTGACATATAGAAAATTACTACATAACAACTAGGAAAAGGGAGTCCACGATGGAAACATTTCGCATCTTCAATGCGTGCAAGCAACTAAATCCTACTGTCTATACATTAAATATTATGATAGTAATAAATTTTTTACCTTTTAAAACTGGCGTTTTTCCATCCTCTCCAAAAATTAATTTTAGTTGCTTACAAAAAGGACTTCTTTATTTAAAACTCATTTTAAAGTATTTTTTATAGTAACCTTAAACTTATTTAAAACACCAGAATCAATCATGCTTTAACTTTCACAATAACTTTCAAACATCATCTCTCAATATTATTACTTGTTAACGGTAATGGACTTTCGATAACTTATAAATGTCGAAAAATAATCGACATAATCTCCCTAATGATATATTACAACAACAATAGCATATGGTCACTTGTCGCCTCTGATATATACATTGTTATTCAATCGTATTTGATACATATTTATGTATTTATTTATAATCTCTCAACTATTTAAAATCAGTCTATTAGTCAGTAGATATAAAACCTTCTGCAGTTTATATACATTACAATATCAAATATGGTATTGAAATTTTAATTGCGATAAAACATAAAATATATCAGAATTGATCTTGCCAAATTTAAAAAGTGAAAGACGTAAAAATAATCAGTAAACTAATTGTCCCTCGTAAATTTAAAGAAAGTTGTCTAAAAAACGTAAAAAGTAATAAAAATTAAAAAGTAAGAGATTATTAGATGCAAATTTCGCGGCAGATTCGAAGGACAACTAACGAACACTTCCACATATTTTAATTGGTGATGATGTGGCATTATCAACTCAAATGTCCTTTGCGATTTCCTATATAAATTCCTCGTCCACAAGACAAGCAAATAGCAAATTTTTCTTCTCCTCCTTTCTTCCTTCTCCGAGTATTCTAAATTTATTTTTATATTTTTCTTTAATTTTTCTTAAAATCTTGGACGATGAAGGACAGGTTTACAAGCACTATTCTTCAAAGCGAGGAACTCGCTAAGGTTCATTTTAATTTCCTGCACCGTTCTTTCTCTTTCTGATGCCACAGGAGCGGGGAGTCCCTCAACATTTTTGAATTTTTTTGATAAATATATAGATCATATATGAATTGATATTTTTTACGTTCCCCCTAAAGGATAATTCTGGCTCAGGAAGCCATTACATAAATTTTAAAATTTTTGAAAGCAAGAATATATTGAGTTAGATCTTGATTTGCACATACTTGAATTTCTTAATAGTTGTCTTCCCATTAATTCATTACGTTTGCTGATCTACAAGAACCACGAACATTATCTTGCAGTATCTTTTAGAAACAAGTGCGTATCCTAGAGAGCACGAACAACTCAAAGAACTCAGGGATGCTACTGTCGACAAGTATCAGTATTGGTACGATGGAAATAATTAATCAACAAATTATCGTAATAAAGATCTTTTTTTGCAAAAAAATTGAAGGCACTAGCTTGTGGATTTATTTTACGATTAATTTCAGGAGCCTGATGAATGTGCCTGCTGATGAAGGCCAATTTCTTTCAATGCTACTGAAACTGATGAATGCAAAGAAAACAATTGAAGTTGGAGTGTTTACTGGATACTCACTTCTTTCAACTGCTCTTGCTCTTCCAGATGATGGAAAAGTAAGCAAATTCGTTAGTTTTAGATTATAAGTTTGAATAATAAGTAATAATCAAACACTTATTAACAATATTTTATCATTTTTTTTTTTTTTTTTTAAGATTATTGCGATTGATCCAGATAGAGAAGCATATGAGACTGGGTTGCCATTTATTCAGAAGGCAAATATGACCCATAAAGTCCAATACATTCAGTCTGATGCCACCGCAGTTATGGAAAAGTTTTTAGCCGAGGTACATTATCCTCCTCTAGTTACCTACAAATATTTACATTATCATGCACCATATAATTAAAGAAAGTTACAGGATTCGAGTTGTATCGCACCTCTAATCGACTCATTTACAAATAACAATAATCAATACTTGAGCTACTCCTTTTTACAAGGTCTGCCAAAACTTTAAGCTAATAAGTATATAAAAATTAGGGTTTCTTTATCTTGGGCCCTTCAATATGTTCTACATCAACTAGATCCTACGGCCTGTTTGGCTTGGCTTTTTCTTTTACTTTTGGTTTTGCTTCATGTAGAAATGCTTTTGAATGAAACTACCTCAATCTTTGTTTGAAAATTATTTTTTTCGAAGTACTTCCTATTTCATAAATACTTTAAAAAGAAAGTCACATTGAATCAACTTTCTTTATAAGCTTCTAATTATCAGAAACATTTTCATAAAATTAGTTAAACGGATTCAAAAGCAACTTTTGGATCCAAAAGCTCCTTTTGACTTTTCAAAAGTGATGCATGGATGATTATTGATACAGTCTCTTTACATACAGGGAGAAGAAGGGACATTCGATTTTGCATTTGTTGACGCAGATAAGGAAAACTACATACATTACCATGAGCAGCTGCTAAAGCTAGTAAAAGTTGGTGGAATTATAGCTTATGACAACACATTATGGGCTGGTACTGTAGCATTGTCCGAGGATGATGAAATGGTTGATTACTTAAAGGGATGCAGAGGTTACATAATGAAACTCAACACATTTTTAGCAGCCGATTCTCGTATTGAATTGGCTCAGCTTTCAATTGGTGATGGACTCACTCTTTGCAGGCGCATTAAATAGCTCCAACAAAAATTATTTATACGCCTGTTCGATTATTATCGTCTTTTATATGTGTATTTGAGTGTATACATACACAGACATATTGTTATTTGAAGTTTATGTTGCATGTATTAATTTCAGATGTTGTTGATCATTTTCTCGGATTAAAGTTTACTGTTTCTGAAGTTGTTGGTCCTTTATTTTTTTGATGCTGTAAATGATATAAAAGGACAATTGTTGTTGCTTGTTCAAGTTTTCCATTTGTCTTTTGAAATTTTTAATTGTCTTTTCTCATATTCTGCTATTTTTTTATTTTACGATGTCATTATCAATTGGCAGATTAGTTCGTGTCCTGCTGAATTTTTGATTGTTTATTGTTTGGTCGAGTCACTTATCTGCTTGAGATAATGTACTAATCACATGATTTGTTTGAAAGCGATTGTTAAGTTGAGAATTAACTTTTAATTAACTGTCTTTTCCAAATATATTTTCAAAAGGTGTTAAGTGGATTACTCAAATCAAACAAGTTTGATATTTAACTTTAGGCTAATCAATAAGAAAAACTCCACGTTCGTCACATATTCTATTTGATACTCGAGGTAGATATCATTATCATGGAATGTGATTTTAAATTTATAGAGTAATGCTATTCGTAGTCGCTCTACGTGGCATACACATGATAGGTGATTATTTGCATGCCACGTAGGGCGATTGCCGCAGTGAACGACTGCAAATAGTATTATTCAAATTTATATGTTTACAGTTAGCATTACCAAATATTAATGGAAAAAAATCCAAAAGTAAGTCCGTTCATATAAATATTTTTATTTTTTGCTTTCGGTTGATTCTAAATTATATTTACAGAGTTTCTTTTTAACTCTTACAACATAGTTCCGATATTCAAACAGAAGAAGAAAAAAATATTTTACACATCCTAAATCTATATTATACTTTATCTTCGTTATTAACAGAAAGAAAAATAGAGTGGTTTAAAAAAAATAAAAAATAAAAATTAAAGAATTCTTTCTTTTGATGGCTTTTGTTACCCTTTCACCTTTGTATAAACCGGGGCTAAATAAAACCAAAAGGGATAAAACTTTCTTGTGTGTCGAAGATATAAAGGGCGCGCACAGGAGAAAAGGGGGAATTTGATCGATCTATTATACGGTGAAGCATTCAAAACATAACTGCACACTCACACAATCTTCACCAAGAGTTTGTAGCATTCGGTGAATTGCACTTGCCTCTGGATAGATGTGTGGGACAAAGGATCCACCCCATGCTTTGAGAAACTTGTGAATGGTGAGTGGGCAAAAGTAAAGAAAGTCAACACACGGGTCTCACTCTTACTTTAGTGCGGGAGGCTAGGGAACGGGTTGAGGAATTAAATGAAAAGGATAAAAAGCATGACCACTTCTTAAGGTTTGACTTAAGTTTTCATTTTCTTCTAATTTTCTGTATTTCCTAATTTAATCAATTCTGTAATTTAACATTCAGAGAATTCCGTTAATTAAACATTGCGAAGTGCTACATGTACATAATTATCTGCACAATGATATCCATAATTATACGTGACACTGGATCCAACCTTTAATTCAAATTTCATACTTACACATCAACAATCGAATGATTACCACATCACATTATGAACACCATTATGTAAAATAATTATATACAAATAGAATTTTCCTTAAAGCTTTGGTGTTATTCCACACTAATCAACGGAATTATGGAAATAATGAACAACATTAATGCCGGGTGAACACGCCCATTGACAAGGACTTTAAACAGGGGCTGAGGTGGATTGCATTTCAAAGGACCTGTTCGAATAGTAGAGCTTATAATGGCAAAACGTGGATCCAGCACATCTGATTGCTTACTTTGTAATTAGACAAGATCAACATGTCAATATTATAAGCAGGATGGACCAAAAACCAGAGTGCCATAAAGAAATGTACATTTCATTTGAAAGTCAACTAATATGCATGTTGGGTATTTTTTGGTAAGTGATACCCAAATCCCCTAGGCAATGATGAAAATCGAGGCCCGTTTAACTTCATAGGCTATAAGCCTAATATTGAAGAACATATTGGACCCACACCACAATTGATGTAACCCAATTGTGTTGGGTATTTGGAGGAAATCAGCCCATTGGGCTAGATGCTCAATACCCGACTATGGAGGTAAATGAAATCACAAAAGATAGAATTGGTTGCAAATAATTATCTCGTGATAATTATCATATCCCTACTGTTTCTGTTGGACTCAAATTTAAACTTCCCTGTTATCTTGGAGATTTGATTTCCCTCGTGATAATAAACAAGAGTTTTATATATCCGAAAAACTCAACCAATTTAAAAAAAAAAAAAAAAAAAAAAAGAGAGAAGCCGGCTGCCTTCTTCTTCTTAGAGTGAGAACTTTTCTGCAAAAAGAAAAAAGAGACTTCCTTCTCTGTGAAAACCGAAGTCGACCTTTGTGGTGTGCCTTTGTGTGCCTTTTCTTCTTCGTGAATGAAAAAGTCTCCCAATTGAAGTTACCTTTGTGGTGTTGGGTCGAAGATTTCTGAGCCGGATTTAAAAAAGGGGGATTTCGTTTCATTTTCTTCCATTAAGTTTCAGTTTCTGCATTTCATTTAGTTCACTGCTTCATTTTGGTTTCTTGAATTCCATTACATTTATTTGATTTAATCCTTCATTAACCTTTGTTGTGTGGTTGCAGGTTGGATTAAAAACAACAAATTGGTATCAGAGCTTGGTGGTGGTGGAATTCAGACCAAAAACCGGCCAGAAAACTGAAGGAGAAGAAAACCCGTTCGAAAATTTTTGAAAAACCCGAGGCTAAAAACTCCAATTCCGGCCAAACCACTAACCATCCGGGAAAACTGAGGCCAGACCCATAACCAGCAGGTGGAGGCGCTCCTGGTGGTGGTGATTTTTTCCGGCGACGACGCGTGGTGGTCCGGCGACGGCACGTGCGGCGGTTTTCCGGTGAGGCTTCTTCAGGCAGAATCTTCATTTTAATATTTCTAACTTACCTGTGTGGTTAGTTTTTTGTTTCAGGTACTGCAGTAAAAGTTGGACGATTTTGCCCTTGGTGGTCGCTGGTCCGATCTGCAGTACATTTACTAAATTACTTTAGGCCAAGATTGCGGTCCTAAAGCAGTAAATTCGCATCTCTCGTAGCTTACGGACTCAGAAAAGTCCGCTCTAGTAAATTGGCTGAAACTTTTAAATTATCGCAATAGCAGATCATCGTGTGGGGTGATCATTAGGATTGGGGGTTGTCATTGCTTGGCAACCATTGCTTGATGCTAGAATCTAGGATTACTTGCCAATATTTGTTTAATTTCTAAGTGAAATTATTTATTGTGTTTAGAATTTGTTGAACGTTGTTGCGTTTTAAATCTCATATTATTTAGACTTGTACCCGGGCTCCTATTCTAGTTTCTTCCCTCGACCTGAGAACGTGATTCTCACGGAATCCTGGGGTTCTAGAAATAGAGTATTATTGTGAAACCATAGGATTTCTTGTTACTTTGTGTAATCTGTGTGACCTGTGATCTTTTACATATCGAAGTTTGTGTTCTGTGCATTTTTGAGTAAGATGTCGACATATCACTTTGAGTTGGGTGTCTTTAATGGTAAAGGAGATTTTTCAATTTGGCAACAGAAAATGAAAGGCATTCTTGTTCAACAAAAAATTTCTAAAGCAATTGATGATTCTTTTCCTGCAACTTTGACTGATGAAGAAAAAGAAAATTTGGATGAATTGGCATATACTTCTATAATTTTACACTTGTCTGATGCGGTATTAAGAAAAGTTGGTAAATTAAAATCAGCTCAAGAACTTTGGGAAAAATTGGAGGAACTTTATGTTTCTAAGTCCACTCCAAACAAACTTTTTCTACTTGAAAGCTTTTTTAGTTTCAAAATTGGTTCTTCAAAAGATTTGGATGACAATTTAGATATTTTCAATAAACTTGTGCAAGATATCAATAACTGTGGTGAAAAAGTATCTGAAGAATATAAGGCTATCATTTTGTTAAATGCTATACCTAATACTTATAGAGAGGTTAAAAGTGCTATTAAATACGAGAGAGATACTTTAACACCTGAAATTGTCATAGACTCGTTAAGAAGTAAAGATATGGAATTGCGAGCCGAAAGAGTCGAGAGAAAAAGTGGTGAGGTTCATATGATGAGAGGTAGGTCTCAGTCTAGAACTCATGATAACCAAAGTGGATACGCATTCGGTTGTAAAAAGAAGAGTAGAAGTTTATCTAGGTCAAAAGGTAAATCTAAAGGTAGAAAATGCTATGAGTACGGTAAAACTGGACATTTTATTAAAGATTGTTATGTTGAGAAAAACAAACAAAAAGAAAAGGTTCACGATGAGGCAAATGTTATTACTTCGTTTGATGAATGTTGTGAAGTATATGTGTTATTGAACTCTGAATCTACTGAAGTAAATCTGACTGTGAAATCACATTTAAATGAATGGATACTTGATTCTGGTGCATCGTTTCATATTTCATCACATAAAACTTGGTTTGAAAACTTGCAAGAATCTGAAAGTGGACATGCTATTCTGTGCAATAATCATGCATATAAAATTGCTGGAATTGGTGATATCACGTTAAAATTTGACATTGGTAATGTGCTTAAATTACATGGAGTTAGATATATTCCAAAAATGGCTAGGAATCTTATTTCAGTAGGAGCATTAGAAACTGATAGTTTTTCTGGTAAAATTGGAAATAACATGCTGAAAATGATTAAGGGTGCTCTTGTCACGTGTAAAGGTATTAAAAGAAATGGTATTTATGTGACTACTGCTGAAATTATTAAAAATTCATCTTCGTCTATAAATTTGACCAACAAAGATGACACACACAAGTGGCACAATAGATTAGCTCACATAAGTATTAAAGGACTTAAACTACTAAATGATAAAGGTGTATTTGGAAATGACTGTGTGTCTAATATGCCTTTTTGTGATCACTGTGTTCTTGGAAAACATCATAAGTTGTCTTTCTCATCTGGCATGCACAAAACTACTAAAGTTTTGGAATATATTCATACTGATTTATGGGGGCCATCTACTAATCCTACAATGGGTGGGAATAGATATTTTTTGTCCATAATTGATGATTTTTCTCGTAGAGTGTGGGTTTATCTGTTAAAGGATAAAGCTGAAACTTTTAAGTTTTTCAAATTATGGAAATTGCAAGTTGAAACTCAAACTGGCAAAAA